CTCCTTCCGTCCTGCCCGCATTAGCTGGGCTCCCCAGACCCCCCGGCAGTGCTGCAGTGTGGGACTGGCTGCGGGCAGCTGTGTCCAGCAGTGACCCCACGTCTCTAATCTGGCCACCAAGCCCCGGCTGCAGCCCTGGGGCAGTGGTCCAGCCCTGCATCCCAGCAGGATGCTGCCAGCCCCTGGGCTCAGTCTTTCCTTGGGCTGCAGGGAGTCTGGAGTTCGCCAGGAGTGAGCTTGTTTTCAACTTGTTTTTCTTGTTTTTTAAGGGGAAAGAAGAAAAAAAAAAAACCAAACCAAATTTTCCACAGGCTTTTTGGCTGCATGGGCAGGGCTGAGCGCCTGGAGCTGTGGGCACAGAAGCATGGCAGTCTCTGGCCCCATACAGCCCTCCTTGGGACAGGGGCTAATAATACCTGCTCCTGGCATCACCAGTGACGCAGGCACCCATGGGTGTCTCTGGCTCACTCTGTCCTTGTGCTATTTTGGAGCTTTTTTCAGAGTCTGGCCAATGAGGCCACACGCCTGGACAGTTCCTGATGTGCTTGGAGTCTCTTGAGCAGGTAATTGTAATTCCTCGGTGACCCAACTCAGTTTACTTCGGCCCCGGTGTAGTTTTACATCCTGCCACCCAGCTGGGTTATTTATAGCTCTGTCAGAAAAAGGATAAAGTCAGCACAGGTTTTCTGAGCACTGCCTACAGCTCCGTATGCAGGGCTGTGCCAGGCTGGGGCCAGAGGTGCCCTTGGAGGGATGCTGGGGTAACGGGACCCCACTGGGATTCAGGGATAGGGCTGAGATCAGTGCGGGGGCTTGGTAGGGAGGGGGACTTTTTAGCTCCTGACACAGTAACTGGCCCCTTGGTTCAGTTTTGTTGGCTGAGTCCCATTAGGGGAACCAAATTTCCAAGAAAAGAGTTTTTCTCTGCATCTCTCCCCTGGCTGGTGGACAGAGCAGCATCTCCGCATCTCTTGCTCTTGTGGGCTGGTGATACAGATATTTACACCAAGCAGGGTGGGCTGTGGGCCCGCTGGACCACCCGGAGGCTCTGTCCTGGGGTGTGGGGCAGGGACAGCCCCAGGCAAAGGGCTTAGGGCTGAGGGAGATGTGCTGCTCTGGCAGGGTGGCCCTGCTTGCCCTGTGTCTCTGGCACTGGCTGCAGCAGCTTGTCCCAACACTGGGTCCCTAATGGTGGTCACCTCTCAGCCCGTGCCCCTCTGCAGGTGACGGGCAGGGACGTGGGAGCACTGCCAATGCCCTGACCAGGCTGGTGTCGGGGAGGTGATGAAGCCAGAGCACAGCAGAGGGACCTGCCCCGGGCCGCCCTTGCCAAGGCAAACACCTCCTGAGATCCCACACGCTGTGGAAGTACATCCAGGCCTGGCAGTGAGTCTGCCGGTGCTGAGCTGCCCTGGCATGGGACAGCCCAGTTCCTTACAGCCCCGCCACCAGCCACCACCTCTGCCCATGCCTCACACTCAGGAGGGTGCAAAAATCCCCTTTAACCAGAGTTTTTCTGGCCTTTCTGCAGGTGTGGCTGCAAATCACCCTACAAGCAAGCCAGCCTGCTAGCCGCCTCGGTGCCAAGAATGGTGTCACCAGGCTGGATTTGGACTGGGGGAGCAGGGAAGGGTCGTTTCCTGCACCCGCCATGTGCTGTGGCTTCCCCCCCCCCCCACTCTCCAAAAACGACTTAACCCGCGCATCAGGAAGCCTGCTGTATGGTTTGGGGCAAAACACAATGCAATGGCTGTTTAAAAGAAACAGCCAAATCCTCGGAATGGGGCAGGAAATATCCCCCGGCGATGGCCAGAGATGCCCAGGGGATGCCCAGCAG